GAACATTTATAAATTTTATTATAAAGTTCAGATTAGCAACATAGTAACTCTTTGAGAACTGAACTTTCTATTATTTTTACGTATAAGAACGGGCTGTTCGGAGTAGAGAGAGTTGACTGTATATAGTTCAATTTTATTAGAATAAAGTTTACAACAATAAAACACTGAACGTTTGAATATAAGTAAAAATTTTTTACTTGTACACAAAAAACCCAATGTATACCCTACGATCTTAATATAGTAACGAGAGTACAAAAACAAAAAACTATTCTAAAACTGACCTTGATCAACTACAAATCTAAATGTTACTTCTCCACTTTCACAACGATGTTCTGCCTTATCACTAAATCCTTTCATTCGCCATTCAATAAATAATCCCCTCTTTAAGTAAAATTTTTTTTTTGTTTTAGACTTTGATTCTGATGCAATTTGGTCTGTTTCTTTAATGTTGTCTGACTCACTTTCGTATAATTTGATCCACGATATTTGCCTATTTCCATAATTTCTTTCTGCCCATTGACTATCACCAAGTATTTCGGATAGTTGATCGATTGCTTCTTCACCATCAAAAAAACATTGATACCAGCCCCCACAAATAGAATATCGAGTTAAATATTGACCAAAAAGGCTAACAAAACTATTTTCGCTACAATGAATTGAAAAAACCTGCTTTCCGGTTTTTGAGTAATGATTTTTTAATCACTTTTGTAATTCCTTTACTATAACATTTTTGATATGGTGTAATTCATGTTCTGGGACCAGCAAAATATGTATAGGAATTTCCTTATAATCGCTATGTTTCAGATTTTCATGTCGCTGTAAACCAGCTTTTGACTTAAAAGTTCTTTTGCTATTGCAAATTGTACAACGATGTCGAGTTAAAATACTTGTAGTAGACATTTTAAACCTTTTAAAACTTATTATAATAAAAATATATAAGTTCTATGTACAAAGCTAATTTCAAAGATTCTTTTACTAATAGATTCTAGCTATACAGTACATACCTATAGTTTGAAGGATTGGTTGACCCCACGAACGATTGGTTGGACGTAAGAAGTATATAGTAAAATGATATGCGTCAGCTGATTTGACTCTAATTTTGGAATGCTGATTTGATCAGATGATATCAAAATTGGGGTCCTTTCTTATTTTTCTTATTAAAATTATATCCCTAAAAATTAAATCGGTGGATATGCCGATCTAAATTTGATTTACCGAGGTTATACGAATAAAAAAATAATTTATTATATTTAACTTAAAATTTTATTATGCTTATTAGATATATTTTATAAGTAAAAAAGAATCTTTATAACATTTTCTATTAAATAAATGATAAAACTCAATTTTGAAAAAAATGTAGATTTGCCTTATTTCTATTGACGGCAGCCCATATAATGACTAAAAATTTTTTATAGGGGTTACGCTTTATTTAATAAGCCAAAAAAATTTTTTTGCCTAAAAAGTAGATCTCCCTTTCTATTGAAAAGCGCCCAAAAGTTAATCAGAATTAGCAAGAATTGCACTTTAATGTCACATCCAAAATATGTTGTAAAAAATAGTATTCCTAGTTTTGTCATTTTACAACAACAAGGAAAGTTTCAAGGAGAATTTTTGGCAAAATATAAGAAATTAATTAACCTTATATTTTGCCAAAAATTCCTCTTGAAACTTTCCTTGTTGTAAAATGATAAAACTAGGAATACCATTTTTTACTACATATTTTGGATGTGACAATACTTCTTTTAAGATGCAATTCTTGCCAATTCTGATTAACTTTTGTTTCTCTTCATTTCCTGTTGATAACGTATATTCGTAGTAAATTTGTATATTATTTGGTGTATATTTATGTTCAATGTCCCAAGGTGCTGGTTGTTCAAAAATCACTTCAAGATGATCTAAAAATGTATTTCCTTCATTAAATGCTTCAATAAAATCTGATTCCTTATGTTCTGGATATAGGAAAAAAACGGGCCAAATTAATTGTTGAGTTTCTGTATCTAGATGTACTGAATGAGGTGATATCGGTGTATTGGGTGTTGTTTCCATTTTAATATTACGCATCTATTAATAAAAATAAATTGGTTTTTTTTTTATTAAATAACGTTGATTAAACATATATAACGTTGATTAAACACATATAGTCTTGTTAAACCTTTATAGCTTTCTCTAATGCCTTTTTTTTCTCTCGTTCCTTTCGTTCACGCTCTTCTTTAATTTTAGCCTTTTGATCCAATATCTCCTTTTGTTTAATACAAGTCTCTTTTAATTGTTGTAAAGCTAAGTTATTTGGCTCTATCTGATAACATTATACAAACATAATTTATTATGAAAAGATTATATACACTATAGAAAAAATATTTAATATTTACTTCAATTCCATGTTCACAACAATCTAAAGCTTGATCAATTTTATCAAGTGCATATAAAGCTTTTGCAGAACAATAAAATGCCTTGATATTTTGAGGATTTAATTTAATGGCTTTCACACAATCTGTAAGAACTTTACAATAATTTTCTATAAAAAAAAATAATCTTGAAAGTAAATATAATAATAAAATTAATAGATGTTATCCTGGTGAAAAATTAATTTTATAATTTACTTACGCAATTCTAAATTAACAGCTACACGATTTGTTAAACATGCTTTAATAATTTTATTGTCTTGACAATTTGTTTCTAATACTTTCGTGTAAAAATTTATCACATCTTGATATTGTGATTTTCTAATTTTAAAACATTCATTCCCTGATTTTTAAAATTCTCGGCAACTTCTATAGAATTTAAAAGATTTTTAGTTAAATTCTAAAATAAAATTTATCCAAATTTTAGATTAAAATACCTTCAGGTGGACTCTCGTAAATTAAAGATTGTAAAGCCGCAAGTGCATCATTTTCTTCTTCTGGTAATTCTGTCATGAATAAAGGAACTTTATTTATTTGTTTGAGAATATCTTCTCTAGAATCTCTTTCAAATCCGCCATCAACTTTTGGTCTTTCTGGGCCTGATATGTTAGACATTTTTATAGATCTTGAACTATCACTTCCTATCCTATATCACTGATCTGTGATAAATTCTTGCATAATCCTAATCCCAGAATTTATCGGATTTACTTTCACTGGGAAATTTCTAGGAAATTGAATATTTTTTTATTGCAGTATTGGTGTTTTTGTCTGTTTGGTGGTGTTTTTTGGAGTCATTTATTGGTGCGATTCCATCATTTCACTGTCGTTTGTATTGTTGTTATAGTTTCTTTTAGCTTTTTCAAACTAACCTATCCTTCACCAAATACTTATTTAAAAATTTTTTACATTACATCATGATAATTTTGATACAAGCCTCATGCAACATGTATGGTTCCAATTCTAACTACCCATCACTGCAATTTCCTGAGAACTTGATCAGCCTATAACAATACATATGTATACGTGTCAACTTGATACATGTTTAGATTTGTATCACATATAAATGTTGTGCCTCAGATCGCTTCTTGCGTCAGATGCAAACTGACACACCTCAGATGCTGATTTTTAGATGACGCACGTCATTCGTCGATTGGTCATCTAAGGTGCATAAGATTTGATCTGATGCAAGATCATCATCTAAAAAAAAAAAAAAAAAAAAAAAAAAGTTCTCTGTCTTTTGATAAACTACCTTGAGTCTGATAAGTTACTATCATAATATTTCTGTGCCCCAATATCATGATATTAACTTATTCTACCCTGTTAACAAAAAAAAGTTCTCTGTCTTTTAATAAACTACCTTGAGTCTGGTAAGTTACTATCATAATATTTCTGTGCCCCAATATCACGATATTAACTTATTCTACTCCGTTAACAAAAAAAAGTTCTCTGTCCTTTGATAAACTACCTTGAGTCCGGTAAGTTACTATCATAATATTTCTGCACCCCAATATCATGATATTAACTTATTCTACCCCGTTAACAAAAAAAAGTTCTCTGTCTTTTGATAAACTACCTTGAGTCTGGTAAGTTACTATTATAATATTTTTGCACCCCAATATCACGATATTAACTTATTCTACCCTGTTAACAAGCTCTTAACATTTTAACTTTATTGAATATTTTTAGGTATTATTAACAGGCTCATTATTTATTAATGATATTAACGTCATAATGAGTAAGGGTGTAAAAAAAAACCTTTGCTCTAATCTTGTCTTCTTTTCTTGAAGCTTGGTTTTTTACTTTAAGTTTATGAACGTCAGTTTTATATCTCTTCACCTTGACGTTGGCATTATATCTCTTTCACATTCAATATTGGAATTCCGTCTCTTCACATTCAATATTGGCGTTGGCTTTATATTCACATTCGACATTGGATATTGGCTTGGTGGCCACTATTCCTTTTTTACATTCGGCATTGGCTTACCTTGGTACTCATTAATTTCTCTTCTTATATTCAGCTTTATATCCAGCATTAGCTTAATTGCTTCGTGCCTACTAACCTTCTTTTAATTCCTCTTTTTATATTCAGCGTTGGCTCAATTGTCTGGTGCCACTTTATTCATGAATTTTAAGTGCCCTATTTGATATTACTTTGTCGCGATATTTTTTTTAATCGTGTCACTTGATCACAATATTTTTTTTTTTAATGGCATCACTTTGCCACGACTTTTTTTTTTAATAGCATTACTTTAACACGACTTTTTTTTTTTAATTGCATTACTTTGTCATGACTTTTTTTTTTTAATGCCATTACTTTTGTCGTGACTTTTTTTTTTTAATGTCACTATTTTTGTTGTGGCATTTTTTTTTTTACCGTAATATCTACTTTCGATTCTATATATTCTTATCTTTATATCTTTGATCTTGTCCCTGTTTCAATTAAGCATTAGCATTATTCTTTGGTGCTGTTTTATTACTCTGATTTAGCTTCGTCTTTGTTTGCCATCGCTTTATTTCCTTTAACTTTAGCCTTGACACCTTTTATCATCTGTCTAAATGGAGTATACATTTATTAGTAGAGATATCCTCAACCAAATCATAGAAAAGTATATAACTAACCTTCTAAAGGCAAAACAAAAAAAAGCCTTAATAAACAATGAACTTTTAAATCAAATTAAGGCTATCTTATTAAACCCAAAAGATACCTCTCTTTGTGATAAAAATACAAGGTCCTGGGCTAAAAAAAAATTTATACTTGAAGAAATTGTGCCAGGAGACTATAGAGTACTTGTAAAGGCCACGAATAATCCTGTGCTAATAGTAGAGAGATTCTATGAGGTTCTATGTTATACCCACAGTGTGATTACTCAATATGGAGGTTAGAAACAAACATGGACGTCAATCTGAGAAAAATAGAGATTTATTAGGCAAGAAATCGTTGAGGAATTTGTGAATAATTGTATGGCATGTGTAGTAAGAAAGCCAGCGTTCCACCCTTTGGCTGCAAAACCAATCATCGCAAAACATTTTTTGTCCTGTTTGCAGGTGATATTATATTTTTTTTGAGGTTAATGAAATTAAACTTTTTTTTTTTAAATTGTACTTTTATTTTACAGATAGATTTGATCGACCTATCCTATATCCTGGACAGAGAGTTTAAATATGTGTGCCACATAAAGGACCACTTTAGTAGGTTCTCGTGGGCTCGGGCACTAACATCCAAAAGACCGATCAAAGCCGTATCATACCTTTTTGAACTTTTTTACATGATTGGATCAGCCCCGACTATTTTACAGTTAGATAACGGCAAAGAATTCATAGCACAAACTATCAAAGAATTAATTGTGCTATGGCCATCTGTGAAGATTATCAATAGACGCCCTCGGCATCCCCAATCACAAGGTCTTGTTGAATGGGCTAATGGTATCTTAAAACAAAAGTTAGGAAAATGGAAAAAAATGACCGGTCGAGATGATTGGTCATTTGGTTTAAGGTTCGTTGTTGTAGCAATGAACAATTCTTGGTATAGGTCACACAAAAAACCCCCTATGAAATTGTCTATGGTGACAAGCCCCGTGGCAATTGTTCTCTTGTCAATGAACTTTTTGCAAATAATATTTTTGACGAAGAGGCAATTCCAGATACAATCGAAATCCTCAATGATGATGAAACAGACTTGGATGATGACATGACTGGTATTAAAATTTCAAACTTTTATAATTTTTTTATTTTAATATTTTTTTTTTTTAAATATATCATTACTTAATACTTTGTAGAGTTTTTACCTAATAATCCGGAACAATCACCCAATCGTATTGGTTTACCAGCACTATCCAATTATCATACTGCTCTCCCAGTACCTTCGCCTAAAAGATCAGCATTTTCACCCAAAAGCCCAGTGTTTTTGCCTAATAACTATGTCAGTCATCCGGGACCAGTGTCTTTGTCTAATAACTATAGTAGTTATACTGTTTTCACCGATATTATAGATCAGTATAGTATAGGTAAGCAAATCCGTATAGTATAGGCCAAATTTAAGATCTATACTATACCGATCAGCCATAATTCCTAACCCTAACCCTATTATATATTACACCAGATCAGTATAGTATAGATTTAAAAATTCGGCCTATACTATACGGATCTGCTCACCTATACCATACTGATCTGTGAAATATCTGTTTTCACTCAGTAATAATACTAACGCTAACTATTCAGTATGCTATTTAATAACAATTTTTTTTATCTGGTATTTTCACCAGATAATTATGGTTGTTATTCCGTATTCACCCAATAATTTTGTAGCTATACGATACTTTCGCATTATTCAATATATTATGTACCAATTTTTATCTAGTGCCTTCGCCTAGTAATTGCTCAATATATTCGCCCGATAATTATGGTAGTTATATTATGCTTTTTTTAATAATTATATTTGATTATTTTGTTTAATAATTTTTTTTATTAGTGCCTTCGACCAATAACCATCTAGTGCCTTCGCCTGGTAGTTGCTCGATATCTTCGCCCGATAATTATGGTAGTTATATTGTGTTTCCACCCAATAATAATATTTTGATTATTTAGTATGTCATCTAATAACAATTTTTTTATTTAGTATCTTCGCCCAATAGTCCCGGTGGTTGTCCAATGCCTTTGCTTATAAATTTAGTATCCTCATCAAATCTCTACGGTAGTTATATTGTACTTCCACACAACAATAATGCTTTGATTATTTAGTATGCCATCTAATTCTAGCATTTTTCTCTAGTGCTTTTGCCCAATAGTCTCAGTTAGTGCTCCTAGGTCCGGTTCGGGTCTGGTCCGGTCCGGGTCTGGTCCGGCTTCGAACCAGACTCAGACTTTAAATT